CTGAGCATGTATGCGTATATGGAGTTGTAGCAATGGCCCGGCGTGTCTGGCACAGTGTCATACTGTCCTGTAATAATCACACCTCTGTTCTGATTTGTTTCTTTCCAGCTTCTCTGCAGTTGTCATCATGATCCCATCAACCTTTCTCGGCCTCCGACTTCTGCGAGCTTCAGCTCCACGCTGGATAAAGCACGGGTCAGCGATTACAGCGCCCACTTGGTACGTCAGGCCCGAGGCTGGGTGACATCAGAGGAATAATAAAGTGGCTCACACTGTAGTGTTGCCCAGCTGCCAGTATGGTGTTAGTTTTCAGAACACAGACACTCACTGTGCCAGGGCTGTCAGGATAAAGTGTACCTGTTCTCAATAGAAAATGGAGACAGCCATGTGTGTGAGCCGGATAAGTATTAACTATAAAGCAGGTTTATAATTCCTTGGGGCGTAGTAGGGGTAGGTAACATGCCTCTGGTAGGAGGGAGCGAATTTAGGATGGCGGTTTTGGGTCCTCTTTATATTGTGACCACATAGACATTCGGGTGATCCCTGTAACCCCAACACTGACCCACCCTGTAACCCCAACACTGACCCACCCTGTAACCCCAACACTGACCCACCCTGTAACCCCAACACTGACCCTCCCTGTAACCCCAACACTAACCCTCCCTGTAACCCCAACACTGACCCATGTAACCCCAACGCTGACCCACCGTGTAACCCCAACGCTGACCCACCGTGTAACCCCAACGCTGACCCACCGTGTAACCCCAACGCTGACCCACCGTGTAACCCCAACGCTGACCCACCGTGTAACCCCAACGCTGACCCACCGTGTAACCCCAGCGCTGACCCACCGTGTAACCCCAGCGCTGACCCTGCAGGTCTCATGTTAAAAATGCTGCGATTCAGACATCTTCTCTCTAAAACAGGCAGCAGCAGAGGTCCCACCGCCTCTCCCCGACTGGCGATGAGCTCTACGAGAGGACAACTGTGACCCATATCGAAAGGGACTCCCCAGATATGATGTTTGTGGAGAGCTACAGCCGTCAAGGCTTCATCATCAATGGGAATCAGACTATCGGGCCCTGCGCCATTATCCCCAGGGCCATCTTGGAGTGGCGTGTAAGTATGAAGCTCCCCCGTGGTCGTACACAGTCTTGGAAGTTATGTTATCACTTAAGGGGAACTTTCACAGCCCCATAGTAATACTGACGCTGGCAATGTGGATGGAGAACTTCTTTAGAGAGTTACCAAGGTGCCCGGGATCCGGGTCAGGACATAACTGTATATATTAAGTGACATTGTTCTGCTGTCAGATTTGGAAATGAATCCGGTTTCTGTCTTGTGTCTAGGTTCGCTCCTATAAAGACATTTCCTACGAAAGTTTATCGTTGTTCCGCTTACTGGTTCCCAGAATAGGTAATGTCTCCGTTTATTGATCATATAAACCAATGAGAGGGTGATTGTTCCACATATCTAGTACCTGTCTGGTTAGAATCATGGAAGCTTTAGGTACACCGATGCTCCTGTGCTGGAGTAACACACATAATGATGTGGAGGTAAGGGAGGTGGATGGGGGGCTTCATCCTTGCTGTAAAGAAGGTTTTAGTTTAATACGGAAGTGACATGTTTTAATGTGAATTTGTTACTTTGTCTATTTAGGCCAAGCTGACAGGTTCTCTTTATAACCCCCCCTTCTTTCCAGCCATAATGTAAGCTCAATGTTGGAGCTCACACCGGCATAACAATCTTCCCCACATGACTGTGTTTGGGGCCGGTGATTGGCTGGTTAGTCCTCAGCATTGCATCATGGGCGGAAAGTAAAAAGGTCACAAGCTGCTCCATGTCGGAAGTACCGAGTACTTCCAAGGGCTCTGGCTGGCGGAGTGAAAGGTAAAGATTTCAGCGAAGGGGGAGGGTGTTATCTTATCAAGAGAACCTGTCATTTTTCTCAGTCAGTTTTTTTTTTTAAAGCCTTTTCTAGTTCTGTGTTCCTTTAAGTCGGTGGCTTGTTAGCATGTGGAAGAGTTGGATGTGACCGCTCAGTTGTCAATCAGCATTTTCAAACATCACATTCCTCACACATGTCCACCACTGGCTACAGCCCAGATGTATCAGTGAAACATTCCCTTATGGTGGGGGGATGGGGACCCGATTCTGACATATATTAGATATTCTATATACAATTACAAAGCCCATATGTGTGTTTTAGACTTTCCCCCTCAAAGTGTATGTAAACGCTTACCATATTGTGTTCCCCTTTGTTCTGTCACATGCTGTATATACCTTTTATAAATGGTTTAGGTAAAAACAAAATCTCACATCCGTTTTCTCTTCTGGCAGAGATCCTGGTTTTGGGCACAGGAGACCGTGTAGAGAGACTGGATCCAAATCTATTAAAGTTAATGAGACAAAACGGGGTGGCCGTGGAGGTTCAGGACACGGTGAGTATCTGTATTAATCAAAATAGGATTTTGGGGGTTGTCGTGAACCTTATAGACACAGTGGGATCTCCCACCCTGCATTGGGGAAGATCAGCGGGCTGTCAGCCTTGGGTCTTCCAGAGCTCCTACAGCTGGAAAGACTTTCCCATCCATCCCTTATTTTGGGAGTTCCTCTAAAGCAGGGGTAGCCAAACTCCGGCCCTCCAGCTGTGGTGAAACTACAAATCACATGATGCATCTCTCTCCGGGAGTCATGTCTCTGGCTGTGAGAATCTTGCAATGCCTCATGGGATTTGTAGTTCCACCACAGCTGGAGGGCCGGAGTTTGGCTACCCCTGCTCTAGGGACTGGAAGCACCATTACCTGGAGATGTCCCCGTTTGAGAGGGAATTTATAAAATGGTGGACTCTTCCCACTGGTGGTCAACCAAGTGTGCCAATGAAATAGAGACACCAGCAGCTAGGTAGGTGTGCTTACCTACACAGATTCTGCCCATTGTCCTGTGTTGGCAGTCACCTTTATCTGTCAGATTGGGTTAGGTCTTCTCATTTGGGTTGGATGTTCTTTCCCGTAGAGCAGGGTTAGGTAACCTTGACATTCCATCGGTGAGGAAGTACAAATCCGGACTTACCTCTGTCTCTGGACGTCATATGTGTGGCTGTCAGGCTTGCAGTGCCTCATGGTACTTTTTATGTCTGGTGCTCTACGGCTAAGCTTAGCATGCTGGGTGGGTTTTGGGGTTATACTAGAGGCTAGAATAGTGTGAATGGGCCCTTAGATGTGGAGCGGAAGGCTGCTTTCAAAGCTTCTTCAAGCTTGCTGTACACACTGCTCCTTGCATGAGCTGTGAAGGTTGTGCGCGCGCGCTCTACCTTCCTTTTCTGGTGGCTGGAGAGAATTACTTTTCATATAGAAGAAAACCAGTTGTGATTGAACTATGGGAACAGCAATTATTATTTATACCCCAAGGTGGTGGGAGTGTGTACATGCTCCTTGTTAAATCCTACACAGGTCATGACTCCTGCAACAAGAGCAATTAGATTTTATGGGGAAGGTTAACACTGTAAGGGGTGTGCTATGTTCCCTATATACATTTGGGTGGATTAGCTGCAGTGTCAAATGCTCAAACTTTTATCTGTATGTGTTGAGTAGAACCATTTTTATTAATGGTCTTTCCGTCTCCTTCATAGCCCAACGCTTGCGCCACATTCAACTTTCTTACTAGTGAACGACGACTAACAGCAGCCGCATTAATTCCGGTCATCGGCGACTATAAGGTCATATCGCCTACAGACCATTCACAGGAACGCTAAAGGATGGAACCCGAAGAAGCAAAACAGACAGATGGCAGATCTTACTCGGAACACTGCAATCTGCAGGAAAGGCTTTTCGGTTACATTTTGGCATTCTTAAGACTTCTGTAGATGGGGATTTAGAGCCGCACTGATAGCCTATGGGGGCGCCAACACAAAGGCACCAGAGCTCCGTGTAGATGGCTGTGGGATTTTATGAACCTTGTTGGAAGCACATCTACCATACATGGCGGCTTGAGAAAGGGACGGAGCCAAGTGCACAGAACATTTCCGTATGACAGGTATTGGTCTCCATGCTTAGGACTTCTGTTCATGTTTCTGAATTCTGTACTTTTGTGTTACTGCCAAATCCAGTGTCTGTGTTTACATGGCACCTGTAAGTCCCAGCGCAGGGGTGTGGTTTGAGTTGATTTACCTGTGCCAGAGGAACATTTAAAAGTAGCAAAGATCAGAATAAAACCTACTGCTCATCCGCATGGCAATGCAGGTTCAGAATGGTCACCCTGCACCAAGTGGATTGTACAGAATTAAAACATACTTCAACTACAGAAAACCAAAGCCCAGCTCCAGGAGCCCTCATTGGTCCATGGATGGTAGATGTGCTGCCCCATGGCATATAAAGATTGATTCAGAATTAGCTCCGTCTTTGTGTAACTAGGCCCTAGTGCAAGGGTAGCTCAACTTTGGCCCTCCAGCTGTGGTGAAACTGCAAATCCAATCATGCATCTGCCCCTGAAATGTCATTCCAAGTCTTGCAATGCCTTATGGGACGTGTAGTTCCACAACAGTTGGCAAGCTGAAGTTTTGTTTCCGCTGCCCTAGAAAATCCTCAGAAGAAACAAACTACAAAAGTAAAATCCAGCTCACAGCAATGGCTTGGTGCTCATCAGGACAGGAAATGAGTGGAAATCTCTTCCCCAGAGATCAGTCACAGAGGTCTGGGAGAGGGGCTCACCCCCTTTTACACTCTATCCCAGAGGTAGGGAAACTCGGCCCTCCAGCTGTTTTGGAACTACAAGTCCCACGAGGCATTGCAAGACTGCCAGCTACAGGCATGACTCGCAAGAGACATTATGGGATGGGAACCACAGGTGGAGGGCCGATGTTTACCTACCTACACCGACCCCCCTCCCCCCTGCTGTAGCCAAAACTGGATTCCACCATAAGACCAAAAAAACTGCCTGCCAGTGTACAGAGAATGTCTATTTATGATGAATGTACAAAGAACAAATATTTTATACTTTGTTGAATAAAGTAAGAGAAAAAAAACACTTTTTCAGAGTTTTATTGTAAAAACGGCAGGCACAGTAGTTATCAGTAACACGATTTCCTCTCAGAATCCTTTGTTGTCAGTAGAGCAGGCAGATGAGAGTAAGGCAGTGGCTGGAACAAGAGGCTTCACACACAAGGCATGCGGTGACGGGACTCAGAACAATCTCTTCTCGTACCTGGAAGTGTTATACGGGGATTTTATATCAACATACTTCTGCACCAAGACACATCCCTGGACCGGGAGTCTTCTAATAAACATTTCAACAAGAACTGTATTGCAAAAAATATGGCGGCTGCTCCAGGTTAGTGATGCAGGAGTATTAAATGGACCCTTACCGTGGGGGGTCCTCTTGCACTGAAATGGTTAAATGCTCAGTTTTGTCTGGGGGTGCAGACAGTCCCCCAAACCCAACTTAACAACGCAGGACCAGCAGTCCTGCATTGTAAGGGAGGACACAGAGGACTGGCCCCCAAACCTGAAGGGAGAGTGTTGTCTGCAGGGGAATAGCCCCACTGCGAGGGTTAAGGACACTTATTCTGGCGTTCTGCTTTAAACTTCTGTTAAGACAGTGTGTTCACATCCATATTACAACTAATGAGATCTGCCAGCACAGTACAGACAAGGTTAGTAAGGGTAAACATTAACTCCCCAGCCCCCCTCCTCAATATTACTTAAAAAGGAGACCTATAAGGCGAGTAATTTCCAATCACCCTTATAGTTCGAGCCGATGTGCGACAATGAAACTCACACATCGACTCTATAGAGATCAGGAAGTGAGCACACGCATACCGTCGCTCGCTCACAGAGAGAGAGAGAGAAGAGAGAGAGAAGAGAGAGAGAAGAGAGAGAGAAGAGAGAGAGAAGAGAGAGAGAAGAGAGGGAGAAGAGGAGAGGGAAGTGCAACGCGGGGGCC